AAAGTTTCTTTTCTCACTGTGCTTCATTTTGGAGTTTTTATTACTATGTCTTTAAGTTCACTAATTTTTCTTCTGCAACATTTAATCGGTTGTTAATCCCATCTAGTATACTTTTCATGTCACGTATGATAGTTTTCATTTCTAGAAGTTTGAGTTGGGTCCTTTTAATATTTTCCATGTCTCAGTGGAGCTTTTTTATATGGAACAGACTTCTAATGACCATTTTAATGTCCTTGTCTGCTAATTCTAACATCTGTGAGAGTTCAGAATAAGTTTCAGTGGACTCATTTTCTTTTTCTCCTCATTATGGATCATATTTTCCTCCTTCTTCACATGTCTGGTAATTTTTGCTTGGTAGCAGTAAGTGTAGAGTAACATGGTGTATGGGTGATTTAAAAAGAGATCCTCTGGGACCAGATCTCTTGGAGATTATCAGGGCACTGAGACGACAGGAAAGGGCTTTCCTAATGTGCTGTTATTAGATTTCCTTGTCCCGAGGCACGCCTTCTCTGTACATCAGTGCCCCCACAGTGCACACTGCCCCTTCAGTCAAATGGCACATGATCCTTCTGAGCCTGTAGCTCTTTCTGGAGTTCCCCTCCTTGCTTCCTCCAAGACTGAGCCTACCTTCTCTAAGCCTGAGGTAATTCCTGTGCCTCAATCAGTTTGAAAACAGGGGCCCCCTGCCCGCAGACAAAAAGAAAATCTAGGCCCTCCCCACCCCGACCCCGTGACCAAGGAGCACTTAGGCTCCAGGCTGGAGTGCCCCGTGTGCAAGGACGACTACGGGTTGGGCGAGTGCGTGCGGCAGCTGCCCTGAAACCACCTCTTCCACGACAGCTGCATCGTGCCCTGGCTGGACAGCTGCCCTATCTGCCAAAAAAGCCTCACAGGTCAGAACATGGCCACCGACCACCACCCCCCACCCCCGGGCCTGGCGGTGGTGAGCTTCTCCTCCTCCTTGTCCTCCTCCTTCAGCTCGCCCGGTAATGAGAACCCAGCCAGCAGCTCCTGAGCATCCTGGCCGGCCCCCAGGGCGAGCACTGGGCCGCGGGCCAGGACTGCGGACTCTGCGGCCCCCTGCACCCCTCACGCCCATGGACTGCGGTGCCACCGGGTCTGCCGCGGTGGAGGCTTGGAGGACCTGCCCCTCCCGGCTGCGGAGGGAGCCCGGCTTCCCCAGGGCGGGGCGTCTGACTCCCTTCCCGTTTGTATCCGACCTCACCCTCTACGTGTTCGACGGCGGGAAGGTTTTTATAATTTTAAATTATTACTGCTTTGAAATAAATGGACGTTTGAGCTCAAAAAAAAAAACCCAGGTAATTCTCTGAATCCTTTAGGAGCCCCTCACATAATGACACATAGTGTGTGCTCAACATATGCTTGTGGGATAAAGAGGGGGCCCAAGACTCATCCCTTAGCTGGGAGTACAGCCTGAGTGGGGCCCACACCTTCTTAACTCTTGGGGAAGTGCCCTGAGGGTGGGAAGCTCCTCAGCCCAGGGACAGCTGAGTGTGTTCGAGTGCTGGGACGCCTCGCCTCGTCTGTGCCTCTGTGCAGGTTCCTTCATCCCAAGGTGGGCGTCCCTGTCACAAACAACATGCCTTCTGACCCTCATGGTGGCCACATCAAGGACTCACTCTGGGAGCTCTGAGCTTTGCGGGAGGCACATACCATATGAGTACGCGGAGGCCAGATGCCAGGAGGGGAGGGGAGGAACAACTCCTCAGAAACACACGGAACTTTAATCTCTTGGAAACTCAGGCCAGGGTGATCATGAAAAGGAAGGATGAAGTAAATGATGCTGTCTCAATCGGAAATACTAAAAAATGTCTCTCAGTGGGATGATTGCCCTTAAATAAACAGGTGCTACAAGCTGGTTAAGGAACTAATTCAGAGGATGGTCCCAGCGCCTGCACTTACAAGAACATTGCAGGCTAAGACATTTCCAGCTGGGCCCAGGAACAGCTCCTCAAGTGTTATTAAATGTGTAATTCCTCCAGCATCGAGCAGACAGTGAACGCAGGCCCTGAGATGGCCTTAGAGCAGGTGTAATGGAGGAGCACTGCAGCATCTGTGCTGTCGACGAGCTCTCCCATATTGGGCTCCAGAGATAAACAGACCCCTGGAGACAAATGTGACCAAGAGGCAGTTTCAAACCAGATTACGATGATTAACTGCAAATTCCATGAGAATTCAGCAGCAAAGTGCAGTTCTGAAGGGTCATCTACCTTCATGTAAAGAAAAAAAATTAAAGCAGAAATAGCCACTCCAAAGACTAAATATAAAGACATTCTCTATTTCCAGGTACTAAAAGCTACTAAAAATCCTGATGAGTACAAGAATCACAGTTGGCTGAAGGTGTTGCTACTGTAGCACTGGTGGCCCCGGGGAGCAGGCCTGGGTGGCCGATTGCCACCCCTCATCTCTTAGGGGAAATCTTTTCTGTCCCTCCCCTTCATTGGGCTTTGCGTCATGGTAGTCTCTCCATTTTATGCATCCAGAACCTTTGCACATGGTCCTTAATGGCCAGGTACCAAGAGCAGTGCCAGTGAATTTCTAAACATGTGATACAGATGACAAAGGTATTGAAGTAGGAGAGAAGCAAGGAAGGTTCTGAAACAACTTCCCCAGAAAAGCCCTCTTGTTTATGTAGCTTGGCTTTTCAATTAAATTTGACAAAGGGCAAAGTAGAAATGACCAAAAGGTACAGTTTCCTGAGCCACAAGACCAGGCTTTCCGATCAGCAACAAAAGGCTTTAGTGTAGCAGAGACGGGCTGGGTAGAAATGAGGTTTTACCGCTACTCCCTTCACTCTAAAATTTCCAAAACTGCTTTATACACCGTAGTTCTGATCTCTGTAACCATACTGCAGGCAGTGTTATTACCACAGTTATTACCACTGGAGCAAAGAGGGTCACGTGAATGGGTTCGGGCAGCAGCGTGCAGGACTGATGCACGAAGGCGGTAGGGACAGGACCAGGTGGCCAGATCTGCCTGACGCATTTGTCACCTCCAGGCCCACCGGTGCTAGGGAGTGGAAGCCCTGGGGGGGTGTGAGCTGAAAAGAGCCCCAGGTAGCGGGTGGCCTGCAGGGCTATCTCAATGGCGCAGGGGTCCTGGACAGGAAGGAGGGGCTGACACTCTGAGCTGAGGTCCCCCACTCTCTCCTTTTACCCCTTGCAGAGCAGAGAATGGTCTCTCCCTTTGCATGGTGATGCCCTTGCTTCCTGCCCTCCTTCTCTGTGGCTCTGCTGATCCCCCTTTCCTGTGGGTGGAAAGGGCTCCACTCAGCTCACAGCAAATTGTTACAGGTTTGCTATGGGCTCCTGGGCAGCTCCTTAAATGAGCATTTTCTTATCTGCAGATAATCTACAAAACCACACTTATAGCATGGAGTTGATGCAAGATCTAAGAAAATCTTCACACAAGAGCCCCTGCCACGGGGTGTCACCCAGATACACACATGTGTGCACACGCACATGTACACAGCGAGCGGGTCAAAGTCCAATTAGATGTATGGCTGTTTCTCTGCTGATTCTTTTCTCCCAACTAGAGACCATTTAAGTCACCATTCCTTCAAAACAAGCAAGCAAACCCAACCACTGATGCCAACTCGTCTCCCCACTTACAAACCCCTCAAGCAAGCTGAAGGCCGCACCCTGTCCTTCCTCCCCAGAGCCCCCATTTCTGCCTCCCTCCCCACATACTTCTGAAGCCTGACTGCCAAGTGCAGCAGCCTCTTTGAGGGTCTCTGTCCCGCTCCCAGTGCTCTCCCTTGTTCCGGAGCCTCCTTCTTCATGTCCTGTTATCAGACTTCCCACCCTTCCCCTCTCTGACAACCTCCTTCTACCCTCCCTTCTCTGTCCCCCGAAGAGCAGACCCCGAAGCTCAGCCCTCAGCGCGCTGGGCCTTCGTGTCACATTTCCCCTCGAGGACTTGCCTGCCATCGTCATCGGGTAGACGAGGGCCCTAGTCTCCACCTCCCAGGCCACGAGGCCCCATCACCAGTGGTCCCCTGAGCACTCCCCTCACCACGCCTCCCCGCTCGGCGCCCCTTTGTCACTGACACAGCCGGCCCACTCCCCACACAGGTTCAAACTCGAGAACCGTTTGTTCTCCACACCTGCCTGGCCCTCCTGTTAGCTGTGCGTCCCCTACCCTGGCCCTTCCTGTCCAGCAGCCCCCACCTTCTGGCCACCCTCACTCCTCCCTCTGGGCATGAATTCCTGCAGCAGAGGCCACGGTGGCCCCCTGCCACCTGGGTTAACATTATAATCTCCTTTACACTGAGGCACACAAATGCAGCCCTGCCCACAAGATTTCTCGACTTTTTGAAGAGTCACCCTCATGCCAGGCATGTGTGCGGATTCGGCCTCATAGCAGAGGGTTTTGTCCCCAGTAGACAGTGTCGTGGGCAGGGACGGCTGAGCTCTGCGACACCTATGGCCTTCAGCACAGTTCTGAGTACAGGGCCTTGCCTAGGACTTCGAGCAGTGGCCATGTGACTGCAGACCCACAGGCACGAGGACAGGGGTGGGGAGGTGCCTACTGGGAGCAGAGCTGGAGACGTGGTATGGGCTGGGCTGTCATGGCTGAGAAGTGACCGCTAGTGCCGCGGCCTGAGCCTTACAGGTGACAGCCTGGGCCTCCACGGGACTGTTCCCAGGGTCAGGGTTGGGGAGGGAAAACACTGGCTGGAGACAGGAGACTGATGGGGTGAGGTAGGGCTGAGCGTCAAGAAGGAAGCGGGCAGGGTCATTCGCCGGCTGGAGGGGTGGTTGTGGGTGAGGAGGGGGCAGAGCACAAGAGACAACAGGTGAGCCGAGGGCCAGCGTGACAGACCAGGACTGGGCCCAGGGGAAGCACAGCCTTTCCTGGGAGGGAGGGAGGCCATGGAGGGCGTGAGGCCAGGAGGAGGGAGAATGGACGGTGGGGCCGGGCCCCCCGCCCTACTATCAGCAGCTCTCCTGTGGTGGGAGGGGACAGACATTACTCACACTGTCCACGGCGAGGATCTTGGCCCAGATGAAGACAAGGAGAGGCCGCAGCTCCCTGGCTGAGCTCTGGAGCAGCTTCAACACGTAGGGGAAAATACCCACAGACAAGGCCTGCGAGAGAGAGCACGTCAGCCCCGCGCCGGAGGGAGCAGAGCGCATGGCGTCCTCAGCACTAACGGAGCTGCATGGGGAAGGGTCGTGCCTCCCTCACCTCCAGTCCTTCTCCTGGAAGCGACCCAGGCCTGCCTGCTTGGGCTGCATGAGCTCACGCAGCTAAGAGACATGCCAGGCCTCCACCTGAGTCTACCTGTGGTGAGCTACATACGGCCTCCCTGCTGGCACCTGGGAGTATAAGAGGGCTAGCAAGGACTGCTCGTGCATTCTTCCTAATTTTTAGGTTTTCCCTCTTCTCCTTCATGTTGAACTATCCATTATGACTCTTGGTTGACAATATACAATTAAAAAATCTTAAATATACATCAATGGAGATAAAATAATATGCTGAACTCCCATGTGCCCATCACTTGGCTTCAACGCCATCAACTGAAAGGGCGCGGCATCCTGGCTGGCCCTACCCACCGTCCTTTCCTGAATGTTCTGAAGCACGTCTTAGGTATCACATTGTGTCATCTGTAAACACTTAAGTGTTTATCTCTAAAAAATAAGGTCTCTTTTATGAAAACATGACCACATACCACTACCACACCTAAAAAAATGAACAATTACAATTATTGTTTTTTTTTTGGCTGCGCTGCACCGCATGTGGGATCTTAGTCCCCTAACCAGGGATCGAACCTGCGCCCCCTGCATTGGAAGCAAAGAGTCTTAACCACTGGACTGCCAGGGAAGTCTCAACAATTATTCTTTAATAACATAAAATATTCAGTTCATGTAAAATTTCTAATTGTTTCATGATTATTAATTTTTCAAATTTTAACTTTCAAACTTTCATTTGCAAATAGAGCCCTATAAGGTCCAGACCCTGCACCTGGTGGTGGATCTCCTGAATCCCCTTTTATCTCTAGGTCCCTCCTGATCTCTTTCCCTGGTGATTTATGTGTTGAAAAAATGGATCACTTTTGACTCTATTTTTGTCAGTGTTTTGAATGGCTGTTTCCATTCTCCTGTGAATAGAATGACAGAAAAGCGTTTCAGAGTTGTGCCTAAAACCGCAGCGAAAGGACGGCGAGTGAGGCTTCGCAGGCTTCTCCTAGGAGAACACACGCCGCGGGTGGCCGGGGACTCAGCCCAGAGGCTGCCAGCTTCCTGGCCTGGCAGGGGTGAGCCCCTCCTTAGAGTGTCCCTAAAGGACACTTTCTGTCCTGCAAAGGTGAAGCCTAACAGCGGATGGGAAAGGGCCGCCCAACAATGTGACAATGAAGGTGCAAAAAGCGAGGTCCACGGGAGCTTGCGGGCTTAACGGCCACCCCCACAGTCATCCTTGGCCGCATGGCCAAGGTCCCTTGATTTGTCAGACGGTGACGTGGAGTCTCGTGCCCCCCACTGCGGACACAGGAAGCACGCACCAGGCTCACCGCCCAGGGACCCAGGTCCAGAAATCTTCCCAGCAGGTCCAGGGCTCTCAGCCGGTGCACTTGGCTCAGCAGCACCTGGAAGGGAGAAGAGGCGGTGTCACCGCAACACCCCTTGCCCCGCAACACGGAGCCAGGATGAGCATCCCCAGGGGCTGTTCTCCCAGGTCAGCAGGTGCCCCTTTCTCTATGGCTCATGCTTTACACAGGCTGGGAATGCTCCATTTCTTCATGAACAGGTAAACTATGTGTACGCTGTAGGAACTAATAGAACAGACACTTTATAACCTCATTTAAGAAAATATCCACTGATGACACTGGTCTATCCACTTCCAGACACTGTTCTCTATGTACAACGTCCCGTTTGTTCTAAATTCGATAAGATACTATTGTGTTTCTCATCTCCTTTCTGACTAAATGATACACCCTCACTCTCACTCCACATAGCTAGATACGTCTGACCATTATGGCTGCCAACGGCAGCACTGAACTTTTCTGTAAATGTGCATAATTCATTTAAACAATCTCCCCATTGCTAGATACTTAAATTATTATCAAATTTTTGCTATTGTAAACAATGCTGTGATAAAAATTCTACCAGGTAGATCTCTGCACATTTACGTTTTTTTCCCCTTCCCCTAGGATAAACTTGAGAAGTAAAATTACAGGGTCAGAGCATACACACTTATATCACCAGATTGCCCTCCAGCTGAACCAACTTGCCCACCAAGCCTTGGCTGAATACCGGGCACCAGGACATGTTTGCTCTGGTGCTCACGGGCTACTTGGCCTTGGGAAAATAACTTCTCTGAACCTTAATTTCCTAATTCATAACACAAGACCCACCCACAAGAGTTCTATTAAATATCAAATTAAAAGCTACCAGCAAAATATTAGCCCACGTTACACTATTATTTCCCAACATGATAGGTAATAATAAAATGCTCTTTTAATCTGAATTTCTTTGATTACAAGTGAGGTTAAATGTTTTTTCATAGGTTAATAGGCTATTTCTCTAGTAAACTGGCCATGCATGTCCTTATTTTCCTACTTAAATGTCTGGCTTTTTCTTTTTGATATGAAAGGATTCTTTGTAAATTAAAAACAGCGACCTCTGCCACGTATTTTTTTCTTTCTTCCTGTGTTATATCAAAGCTTTAAACTTTAATGGAGTCATTTATATTGAGTTTTCCCTCACGATGTTTACCCAGAGGTCACATGAACAGAGCATTTACTGTGTGCGGGTGCGGTGCTGGGTGCAACTGGGAACAGCAGGGCCCCTCCCATCACCACCTGGCCCAGACACAGACATTCCGCAGCCACACTGCAATAACCATCGAACAGACAACTGGGGGCCACTCCCTACTCTGGGGGTCTGAAAGCTCTCCCTCCCAGTGGGTGACATGTGGGGTTCCTAGGTTCCAGGCAGAGGGGCTGGGAAAGTGTGGGCCTTCCCCAAGGAAGGGCAGGTGGCCAGTCTAATGGGGGAGGCTCCAGAACCAGCCAGACCTGCAGACCAAGCTAAGGGCTTCAGCTTTTCCTAAGAAGAGCAGCAGAGGGACCCATCCAATGTGCTTGCTGAGGGCAATAGGCTGGCAGGAAGATGGATGGAGGGGTGGGATGGGTGGACTTGACCGTGGCCATGACCGATGGGGAGAAACAGACTCCAAGACAGCTGGCGGGCATGACCGACAAAGCCTGCTGGAGGAGGGGGAATAGGGGTCAGGGAAAGGAGCCGCTGAAAGAGAAGATTTGGAATGAGGCAAGAGGAAAGAACAGATGGACGGACCAGCCAGCCTGGGGTGGTCTGCAAGGGAGAAGCTGGGTAGAGAGACCAGCGAGGGAGGTGGGAGAGAAGGCGGGGAGGTTTTAACTGTGTACCTGCTCCCGGGAGGTGAGGATCAGTAGTGGGACTCGTGAAGAGGACCCTCTGGCTGCAGGGATGTGGACCGTGGTGTCGGGACTGAACAGGGGTGAGGAAATGGTGCAGCCAGAGCAGTGGTTCAAGAGGCTACCCTCTGAGGGGTGAATACGGGTTGGCGGGAGGAGGGTGGGGAGCAGGGAGGGTCAGCAGGTGGGGGACAGAGGAGGTGGCAGGAGATGCTGGAGGGAGTGGAAAGTGGGGAGGGTCCCGGCAGCACGAGGCTCCTGAGGAGGGGTTCCCGGGTGGAGGGGGGAGGCTGGGGAGCTTCCCCAGGTGGACGCGCGGCCCATGGCTGCAGAGGAGGCGAGAGCGTGTGTTCCCAGCCTGCGGACAGCCCAGGGGTCAGGGAAGCGGAGGTGGCTGGGTTCAGCTGCTGGAATGTCATTTCCCACTGGTTTGGAGCCTGTTTCCACATCGCTATTTCGAGACGGATGATCGAGTGGTTCATTTTATGTTTGGAGAAGTTGAGGTTCTCCAAACAAGAAGCTGGGAGAGGTTATGTGGGGCTGCTCACAGGGGCCTATCTGAACGGGCCCTGATCCCTTTCCCATGTTTAACTCATGGGTTATCTCATGCCACTGCAGCGGAAAGACAGATCTGGAGGGCAAGGTTAGATGGCTGAAAGGCATGGGCTTTGGAGTCAAGCTGATGTGACTATCTCACTTCCTCACAGTGTGGCTTAAATCACAACCTCTGGACACTTCAGTTTCCTCATCAAGAAGAGGAGAGATAACATGTGACTTGGGCTTATTTTCAGAATCAAATGAGATGCAGCCTGTCTGGTACAACGCGGTCTGGTATGAGGGGTGTGATGAATGTTAGTCTCGGTGTCAGCATCCAGCTACAGGATGTCTCCATCTCTCAGAAGCGATTTGATTGACTATTTATTTATTGCCGTGCTGTGTGGCTTGTGAGATCTTAGTTCCACCACCAGGGATTAAACCTGGGCCCTGGCAGTGAAAGCGCCAAGTCCTAACCACTGGACCACCAAGGAATTCCCTATTTTTTAAACATCTTTATTGGGGTATAATTGCTTTACAATGGTGTGTTAGTTTCTGCTTTATAACAAAGTGAATCAGTTATACAGATACATAGGTTCCCATATCTCTTCCCTCTTGCGTCTCCCTCCCTCCCACCCTCCCTATCCCACCCCTCTAGGTGGTCACAAGCCACCAAGCTGATCTCCCTGTGCTATGCGGCTGCTTCCCACTAGCTATCGATTTTACGTTTGGTAGTGTATATATGTCCATGCCACTGTCTCACTTTGTCACAGCTTCCCTTTCCCCCTCAAGTCCATTCTCTAGTAGGTCTGTGTCTTTATTCCCGTCTTACCCCTAGGTTCTTCTTGACCTTTTTTTTTTTTCCCTTAGATTCCATATATATGTGTTAGCATACGGTATTTGTTTTTCCCTATTTGTTTTTAAAGAAAACGGAACTGCTGGAGGTTCAAGTCTCTAGAGATCCAGGGCGAGCAGAACCTTCCATTTACTAGGTTTGTGAAAGCAGGTGTAATTCCTCAAAAATCAAAGACATCAAACACATCTAACACTTGTAAAGATTCTATTTACTGATTCCCTTTGTTATTTAAAACACTGTCAACGTGAATAAAGCTCTGTGTTTTCAAGTAAATAGCAGAGCACTTTGCAGTGGAAGAAATGGCAACTTGGGCCAAGAAACCTAACCACGCGTAGTTCGCATTGTTTGTTTCTCATGTGCACTGACCAGCAGTAAGAGGTCTCCATTACAACGTTATTTACAGATGGCAAAAGTAAAAGGGAAACCATCACAATCACTACTGCAATGCGATCTTTCCTGACTCTGTTGTCCGTGTTGACGAAACACACATTAAAGCATCAACAGACAGTCCACTTGTCTCAGAGACTCGAGACCCTCAGCAATGCAGGGTTTTGTGCTGTGGGTATTGATGTTTCACTGGAAAATAAACAGCATCAATAACAAGTCCTAGGGAAAATGTCAAGTACTGGTTTTTCTAAACGTTACTGCTTCCTGTGATTCCTTCTGTTGATTTACATTTTAAAAATATTGAGGCCCAACATAAATTAAAATTACTTTTTTAAAAAAGGACTGGCTTTTGTTTGTTTGTATTTGTACTTAAAAAAAAAAAAATTCCTGTTTCAGTGTGCCTCAGGCCCCGGGGAAATTACAGAGATAAACGTTGGTGAACTAAATGAGTTACTGGGATTTCTTTCTGTCTGTGGCAACCCAAACTGAAGATTAATAATGGAGATACAAATACCCAAACTAAAACAGAGCTGCTAGCGCAACAACCTCTCATTTGCTTTGTGCACAAAAACGCGCTCAGGCTTCTGCGCTGAGACCGCTGGATAGAGCCGCTTCTTAAAAACCAGATTCTCCAGCTCCAGTCCTGGCCTGGTGGACCCAGGAATCTGATGATCAGAGACTCTGGAGCCACCGATGAGTATAACATGTGTAATAATAACATCCCAGTTATTATCCTGATGCCATCTAATAATAATCCTGTACTTTCAGACCAAAAATTCTGTTTGTAAATAAAATGATGGCATGAAAGCAAACAGGGTTTCCTAATGAAATGCCCACACTGACTTGTAGTATCTGTATAAAGGTACTAACATGGAATCCTGTAAAATTTCTCTCTTCCCTCTCTTTTTCCACAACATTGATTCCTCCTTCTCTGCCTGGGGCTTCTTTGCACATGGGCCACTGAGGGAGTGCAGACAGTAATGCTGAGTCCAGGCAGGGCCACCAGACCAGGAGACCACGGGGCCAGGCCTTGCAGTGTGGCAGGGCTCAAGAATCTTCCTTCCCGTCCTTTCTGTTGATTTGTATTTTTAAAAGGTGAAAAAGGACATCAGGACTGGTCAGGAAAAGCGTACGTTCACGCTTACATCTACACGAGAGGCTGCAGATCAGCCCGAGGAGACAGTTCATTTTACCCCAATGATCCTCAGTTAATGCCTCTGAGTTTTCGGAGGGAGAAAACGCTCTCTGGCAGTGGAAAAAGTAGCAGGGATTGGAAAAGCTGTGACGTCTCTGTATTAAAATTCTTTTTCCCTTCAGCAACACTTCCTGACTCGCCAAGGCACTGGGGATAATTTATGGATAATGGGGCCCAGGTTCTGGTAAAATAACTGAATTAATGAGAAAGAAGCCAACACCGCAGGCTACCCCAAATGAAGCAAGCTCTCCTTTGCATTGTGTTGGGTTTTCTTGTTAAGTACAGGTTCCTGCACTGATCCAGGTGGGACACAGCCCAGACAGATCCCCCATCAGAATGATGAGGAACCTATGGTTTCGTTCGTCTGAAAGATCGCACAGAAGATGCCCCTTTCTTTTCTTTCAGAGTCATTCCCTCATTTTGGCATCAGGAAGTTGGGTCTTCTCTTTCCCTGAGGGCGTGTGGGTTGTAAATGGGACATTAAAGAAAAAGTCAATAGGAGGCCATTTACAACAGGATTGTTTGCCAGGCAGGATTCAGTGCTGGGCATTGTGCCCCTGCTTGGAAAGGACCAATTTTATCTATCACATTATTGAAATAATAGGAAGGTCAGTGGAGGCTGGCTACAGTCTCCTCTCATGAAAATTCGGATGACCCTAGCAGCTGGGGAGCACAGCAACCAACCGGTTACTGCTGTCCCATAGCCCCGTCAGCCTTCCACTCGCTGCATGAGAACTCGTGGGCTCCTGCCAAATGGCGAGTTTTCTTTGTTGTGTTGTTATCGTTGCTTTTCATTTTGTTTTGTTTTGAAAATTTGTTTATTGCTCACCTTGCAAACTCAAGATAGTCAAACTAATCTAGAAACACACATGAGGAATACTAATAATTTCTGCATTCTTTTCACAATGTCAGAAAATAAGCAGTCATAAGACAGAAAAAGCACCAAAATATCTCCAGGGAAGGATCCTGACCAACACCCTGTGCCCACGTAATTATCAAGCCACGAGGACAAGGCTGTGTGGTGGCATTTCCACAACTGCACAAACTGCTCTCACTGCTCTGCTGCCTGGGTCCCGGCACACAGTCCTGAGCCAGATGAGACCGCAGTTCTGTCGTAGGCACCTTCCCAGCCCACCATGCGGTCAGCACAGAGCAGGAGAGCAGACCATGCAGGGAGGGGGCCCGCCACGCTCCAGGTGGGACAGGGATCAGCCATTCACCTATTTTTCAAACTGTCCTTGGCGGCGGGAGCCGCTCAGAGAGCGCGTTGGGCCCAGTGAAGATGAATGGTACTTCTGCGAGACGTGGTCAGCAGCATGGTGAGAAAGTGGGGCCCTCCTGGGGGGAGGCAAGGCCTCGTCCTCAGGCAGGTGAGGCAAAGCAACCTAATCAGCTTTCTGAGGGGAAGGTGATGGTCTTCCCAGCCAGCTCTCAGAATTTAAGACCCCACTTCCTAACTGGACATGCAGCCCCTCCTGCTGCGGGCACGGCCCTTCCCACAACCGTCCACAGTTCTCACCCAAGTCCAACTGCCTCATCCCCACTGCACACAATCTCTTCCAGGGCCTAAAGTGAATTATTAGGCCTTGGTGTCTACACTGACAGTGGTTTTACATCTCAATTGACACTGTCTCAGAGCAAAACAGCTTTGCTTATGTCATGACCTGGTCCCTACACCTGCCCCATAAATATACATTAACTGAAACAAAAGTTCTGTGAAAACTTCCTAAACTTCCTGCCTGTGACGAAGTTTGGTATTTTGCCATCTCATTACCCAAAACTTAGCTGGGTGAGACCCACAGAACTGATCTCCCAAACCACTCGTGGGGCACCAGGTGCCGCGTGAACACTGACACAGGCCACATGGGTGACTGCGCTTGACGGCACAGCCAGAGAGTGCAACAGCCCACAGCTACCGCGGGGCACAGCCCCCTGGAAGTGAGCAACCCACAGGTGGCGGGAGCGGTGCCACGACCTACGTGTGTAATTTGCTCAGGCTCTCCCATTTTCTCTGCAGTTGATTTGCATCTCATGTCCTTCCAAAGAGAAGGGGCACTGATGCCAGAGCCGTGCTGGAACGGAGCTTGCTGGCAGCAGCAATGGGGGGAGAGGGGAGGGCAGCTGACGACAGCCCAGATCAGTGTTTAACTGGGGGGGGGGAGAGGTTTCAGTGACTTCACCAGGCGAGCCCAGGAGACAAGGAGGCATTAACTCCAAAGCAGGAGGGCTGTCACACACCAGCACACTCAGCCCCAATAAACTAGTTCCCTCCTGGGCGGCTGCGGGGTTTTCTAGCTCCTTCATCAATCTGGCTCACCTGGAGACACTCACCTGTAAGACAATGGGAAGCTGCTCAGGTGGGTTCCTGTTCTCCACGCCCATCGTGAGCCACACCTGGAAGGCGGTCAGCTGCTCAGCAAAGAAGGGGCTGTGCTGTGGGACGAGCAGAGGGTTAGTCAGGGGCTCTCCTTCTTCATCCGGCTCTGCCTTTATACGCCACCCCCACCATCGATTCAGCCGTGTGTCTTTGTGAGGCCCTGACTCCACTCGGCCACCACCATCCAGGCGAGGGGACACAGGGCTGGGCCATACCAGAGGAGGTGGTGAGACATGGTCAGACCAGGACGTTTCATACGGCAGAGCCAGAGGCTGCAAGGACAGACTGGGTGTGGGTAAGAGAGGGTTGCAGTAAGGTTAATGCCGGGGCTTGGGCCTAAACACCCGGAAGCGGGGTCCCAAGACCTGAGGCAGGAAGACTGAAAGAGGAGCACGTTTGGGAGGAGCACGTGGGGAACTCAGCTTGGACACACTGAGTTTAAGGTGCCTACTGGACACCCGACCGAGACATCTGGGGGATGATGGCCCACGTGAGCCCGTAGTCCAGGAGATGGGTCTGGGCTGGAGAGACAGATCTAGTTTAAAGTTAAATGAGAAACAGAGGGGACCCTGGGCTGAGCCCTGGAGCCCCCCAAGAGCGAGAGGCCAAGGAGGTGGAGACACAAGGGTAAGGCCAGCAGAGGGGGATCAGGAGTGGGTGGTGGCCAGGTTGCCAGGGAGGAGTGTTTTAGGGGGAGGACATGGTCGGCACCTTCCATACCTGTACAGGGTCAGGCAGGACCAAGGTCCAGAGCAGATGGTGACAAGGAGGGCCCTGGAGACCATTAAGGATGTAACAGGAGGGCCCTGGTAGTGGGCAGAAGCACAACCGGACTGGGTTCAAACAGAAGAAAAGATGATTCAGAGGCTCAAGAATAGACAGTTCTTTGCAGGAATCTGGCTGCAAAGGGGAAGGAGAGACATGGGGAGGTGGGGGCGGGAAAGCGGATGGGGTCACGTGACTAGGAATTTCTTTTTAAAGGTGGGAGAATAAGGGCATATTTGTAAGAGGGGGAAACTGCTGATGAAGGAGGGAGGTGCTGGGCTAGGGCCTTGGCGAGTGGACGCCTGGCGCACAGGTTGGGGGTAGCACTGCTGGGAGCAGGAGATGCAACACAGCTGGGCCAGGATGCAGGACAAAGGCCAATGTGGCAGGACTTACAGAGGATCCCTCTATCGCTCCTGTCTCTCAGCGAGGTGGGAAAAGGAGGTGCTGTGGATGGAGGGAAGAGCGAGCGGAGAGGCGACGGGAAGGAAGGAGATGCGTCCGGGCAGCCTGCCAGGCAGCGTTTAAGGCACCTGGAGGGTCGTGACCGCAGCAGGTCACAGTGGGCTTCCCCAGCTTGGCAGTGGGGGTGCGGAGGGTGGCTTGTCCTTGCGCAGGCACTGCGGAGGGGATGCCTTTAGTGGAGATGACGAGGACGAGGGAAACTGCAGAAGTAGCGGCTCAGGTAGGAGGGGGCCCAGGCTGTCAGAAGGAGGTCCGGGAACTGAGAGACCAAGCAGTAGGACTGCTGGGTTCCCTGTCTTACATAGGCATTTCCACTTAATACCCAGCTCTGCTGTCCCTGAGCTCCAGACAGAAAGAATTCCAAATCTCTGCCTCCAGCCCACTCCTCTCTGTCCCACTCTGTCTCCCCAGGGGGAAAGCAGGTGTTTGTGTAAGGAAGGGTGGGTGGGAAGGCAGGGATGCGGGCTGCAACCCCAGGTTCCTGCACGTGTGGAAGTGTGCGCATAGAGGACTTCAAACCGTGGGCACGGCTCCAGCAGGGCTGTGAGCCAGACCAGGTGTGTTCCCACCGCACCCTCCACAGAGGGGCCTGGTGGTCAGAGCCATGGTGCATGCCCTTGTAAAGAAGTCAGTGTTGCATGAGAATTCGGCAGAGGACTTTCACACTTAGGAATGCGTGTTCTTGCAAAGTCAGTGTACGTGAAGTTAATCAAATTTGGAGGGCAACTTGGGGATTGGGATGGAGCCCCCAAAGTGATTTTCCTGTTTTTAAGTGTGAGTTATTCACAAATTGGTTTAAAAACAATAATCTTGTTAAATGCTCCCTCCCCAGCTGTACTGAGTGAGGGGGACCTTCAGTCTGGGAGGGGAAGTCGGGAAACTCAGATAATTCCACCTCCCCCCATTTCCTTCACTTAGTTTTGCCTTATGGATGCAAACACGTTGCTCATTGCTGAAGAAGCCGCTCAGTCCCGAATGACAAACATTCCTGATCTTTTCACCTAAAGCTGACAAAGAGGGAAAAGCCTTTGGCCATCGAAGTATGCTGTGAGGTTTGTCATGCTTCTTAAAGCCACGGGGAAGATGACAGATCAGATCAGCACCCCACCGTAAGTGTGGTTCAGCATTTTAAGTAACACTTCACAGAACAGCTCAAGAGTTGCCCCATGAGTGCCTGAGATTATTCACAGAGTTGATGTTTTGGGCCAAATCTTCATGATTACCTCCTGGAAATACCGTGTAGATTCTTGGGGGGGAAGAAGCAGAACCCAGGATGAGTGTTCTGGAGGAGAGCTCACAGATCGTGGGCAGAGGCTCTGAGTCATGTGGCCATGTGGCCTGGGCCTCCTGGGACGATTCTGATGCCAGGTGGTCAACCCTGTGGTTAGCCCATGTGTCAGACGGGCTGGGGGGTCTGAAAACAGGCGCCAAGCGTGAAGGACTAAGAGCAGAAAGGCCAGCTCTGAGCACAAAGAGCTACGCCTGACCCTGGGGCCAATCCACCGTGACTTGTGAGGTCACTGTGGGGAGGGAGGTGAGCTAGTTCATCTCAACACACTCCTACTCTTCTCACCTGCCATCCCCAGTCCAAACACACTTATGTTGGCTGTTTCACAGTAAGTGAAGATTTCTTAAACGGATACCAAAAGCCCTAACCATAAAAGAAAAAACATTGGTAAACTGGATATGGTAAAACAAGAAACTTTTGTTCATCAAGTAAAAACATTAAAAAAGTGAAAATCAAGTCTGCAGAATGAAGATATTCACAATGTGTGACAAAGGATTTGTATTCAGAATATAAATAGAACCACTACAAATCGATAAGAAACATAACGCAAAAGAAGAAGGATCACATGGCTTGAACAGGCAATTTATAAAAGAGGATATTCAAAAAGCCAATAAAAACACGAAACAGGGCTCAACTCTATTAACCATCGGGGAAATACAAGATAAATCTCAATGAATACCTTTACATAATGAACCAGAATAGCCAAAATGAAAAAACAAAAGGTGGAAAACATCCAGTATTGATGAGGACATGGGACAACTAAAACTCTCATACATCGTGGGAAGGACTGGAAATTGACTCACAGCCACTTTGGAAAACTGTCCGGCAGTTTGTACTGAAACTGAAAATATGCACACCTGGTGACCAGAAATCCCACTCCGCGTGTGCACACCTGACATTAACACACCAGAGCACGAGGAATTCGCGGTACCTGGCCACACCCACCCACTCGCCTCAAGCACAAAATTTAAGGGGGCACCAAAAAACATAGTAATTCAGATAAAAAAAACCTTAATGCAATATTTAAGAAAATAAAAATTAATATAAAAATCTATAATGAACAAAATATCAAAATTTCATAGAAAGACAGGTCCAGCATGACTGATTTCTCCTTCTGTCTCAGGCTCCAGCGTCTCGGCTGGGCAGTGGCCAGCACAGTTCGTGAGGTCCATGGGATAGACCATGACCTTTGGGGTTTCCACACTGTGATAGGAGTGAGCTGCAAGTGAATGGAGCAAACTTGGCATTGAGTGGAGGCAGCCAGACACAAGGATTCTATTTACCCAAGTACCAACCCCTCAGGGCAGCACACACCCTGGCGGAGGTGGTGGCCAGAGCAGGAGGGGCATCGGGGGACCGCTGATGTTCCAAGTGGGTGCTGGTTACGCGAGTGCGCTCAACTTGTAAATTCACCAAGCTGCACGTTACGATGCCTGCAATCTTCTATGTGTATGTTATGCTTCCAAAAGAATGAAAACTAAATAAAACAGCTAGCGTGTGGCCTCCACCAGGTATCCCTCCCAGTGACAATTTGGTGAGATTATTCCCAGAGGCAGAATCCTGAATCTAGTAGATGAGAAATGAAGCTGAAGACGCTTGAAAGGAGGCCTGGCACTGGAGGGAGGGGTGAGGACAGAACCGTGGGGCTTTATCTGAGAGGTGTGCAGCTCTGACCCCTTGACGGTACAAAGGAAAACCAGGCACACAGCACAAAAAAGCATGAGTTGAACGAGGTTCCCGAACACATGTTTGTGGTGACAGGCCCTGTCCCTGTGGAGGTGGAGCGTGTGAGGAGCTGGAGGCCAGGACTGTTCCCCATGGAGACTTGTCCCTGCCTCAGGGTTTAGGGTCTCCCAGGCAATGCCGAACATATAGGCGAGAGCCAAGTGAAGGCCCTGCCGGCGCCCACTTCAGGGTTCAAGACGCAAGGCTGGCTTCGACTCCCTTGTAAGTGCGTTAAAGGAAAGGTGGGTGGAGAGCGGCGAGCTGCTGGAGCAGGCACCGCAAGTGCTGGTGGAGAACCCAGCAGTGGGCACACGGGTGCTCGATGCAGAGTTCTTCCAACTTTGCTGTAGGTTTGAAAATGTTCATAATAAAATGGGAAAAAAATTCAAGCAATGAAGGAGGAAAGATAAGATAGAGAGGGAGGGCCTCATAGCCCAGTTACCCCAGTCTCGGGGGGAATCGAAATCACCTGAGTTAACACACATGCATACAACCCTCCCCCTCCGTCACAGACATACACGCACGTATACACATGTACACGGACACACACCCCACAGAGAACACACACACTCATACCCCATAGATATACGCAGGCGCACAAATATATATGCACATACACCCCCCACAGAAATACATATGTGTACACACACACACACACACACACACACACGCACCCAGGCCCCTGACTCAGTAAGGTTGAAAGCTTCCCTTTCAATCTTACTGATGTGATGTGCACTGAAAGTTAAAAACCTCTGCAGTGAGACGTGGGTGCCTCTGGCTGCAGTCAGGGCTTTGTGAATACACCAAGGGCCAGGAACCCTTGTGTCCAGCATGTACCACGTACCAGGCTCTGTCCTCCAGTCCTCACGTGCTCCTTGAATTGGATACAACTATAGTTCCCATTTTAAAACAAGGAAACTGAGGCACCGGGGGGCTAAGCTGCCCATTGTGGTCTCTCCAATGGCGCCCAGAGACGACGGTGTGGGGAGAAAAGGCCAGTGACTCCGATCTCCAAGCCCCACCCTCCAACCCGTCCCCTCAGTGGACAGCTTGGAGCCACCTGCTTCCTCCCGGCTCCCCCCACCACTCCCCCAGTCCTGAACACCTGCCCGGTCCCTTGGAGGGTCAGATGGGGGATCTAATTGTGCTCTAACTTGATGGGTGGCTTTTCTCTTTTCTCAATGGTTACTTGAGGGAAGGGACCGGGTCTCACCCACGTGCACCCAGACGTGGTGTCTGACGCACAGCAAACGCTCATCAAATGAACAAATCTTGAATGAAAACAGGAGGGGCTGTATGTGCAGGGGATGCAACAGGTGGTTCTTGGTGAGCTGATGTAACGACCCCCGGCGGGGTGGGGGGAGAGTCGATTTGCCTGCCTCAGGAGCCACAAGTGAAACGACATTAACTCGAGGATGACCAGACCACCACCTAGGAAAGTACATGGGGACCAGACATCCCCTCAGGGCCAAGCCTCAGCCTTAGAGGCTTCACCTGGCCACTGGGCAGCAGGGCCGCAAGTCGAGAGCATCCGTTCGTGGTAAAAAGGCTGAGAACCTGGGATCAGGGAGTGCACGTCAAGAAAAGCAGACCTATGACAGCAACACTGCAGAGATGACGTTTTTAAGAGCTGACCATTTCATAATCTAACTTTAACCCCTGGTTGGTGCAATCTTTTAAGCTTCTGGATAATGCATCTTCTCCCAGGTGGGTGAGGGCTGTCTCTGACACCCGACCAGGGGCTCTGCAGACCAGGTGGCCAGAGAAGCAGCTGCCGCAGTGGACCACGCAGGATGCCCTGGGAGGACTCACCCGAAATGCCGTGCCTTCTTCGATGATGGTCGGCAGCTGGGAGAGACAAATGTCGACAGCCAGGTCCCAGGCCTGCCTGGGGAGAGCAGAGAGGAACCCAAAAAGCATTACTGACGGGCTCACCCAGAGGGACCCAACAGCAGAGCAGCCTGTGGGTGGCTGAGTCGGGGCAGAGCCGCTGGTGAAGGGCACAGGAGGTGAGGAACTCTCAGCTAGCTAAAGCCATTTTGTTTATGACAGTTTTTCTCTTCAAATTGAAAGGAGAAAAAGCTCAGGAAAAATAAAGAGACTTGTCCACTTTCTAATGCAGTTTCTTCCCCCAACTTGAGCCCACCTAGCGCGGCAGCCTGCCCATGCTGATGGCAGCTGGGGTACTGGGTGACCGGACCATGGCAGCATCACACACAAACCTGCCATGAAAAGCCATGGTCAGGCCAAGGCGCTTCACCAGAGACGGGCCAGGTGGGGCTGGGAGAAAGGGTCCGCCTCGGCCCACCCACTGCCAGGCCCCTGCACCCCTCTGTGGGTGGTCGGCACCTGTGCCCAACACAAACCACTTGGGACAAGACAGGTGGTGCTCTGTATGCTGGGGATGCAGCAGCCTCTTTGATGAGTAGTCCTGGCCACCTTCTCCAACTTCTTGTGGCGCCGGACCCAGCTCCGCACGCTTACAAGATGTGCAAGACAAGGTGGTGCCGACTGGGTCATGGTGTCACCTTCCCAGGGTCAGTTTCACCACCTGTGAGGCAGGCTAAAGATAGCGTCTCCCACACAGGGTCCCATGAAGGCCTCGGAGGGTGGCTGACACGGAGGGACACACACAGAGGCCTACTATTTCCTGGCAACGTTTAACACCGATTCTAAACTGGACACAAACGATCCTCTTACTTTTTCTGTGGTCCCAGATTCAAGTGCGGATTCCCAAGGATATAACGATTTTCTAACTCTGACCCCCCTTTCTTTTAGAAACGTGCTCCTCGTGGAAAGAAAGTGATGGTCAGAACAAGGGGTTTAGTTTCTGGTATTGCAATCTCTTCCCAGCGCAATTTCCTGACACACTCAAGGATTCCATGTTACGTTTATTTAGACTAATAACTGCCTGTTTGTGTGCAAGAGGCACCTATTCATGGGTCTTAATAAAGGATCAAAACAAGAATGAAAAATGAAAACATGCAGAAAAACAGTAAAAATGTAAGATGAACAAAAGAGTAGAGAACTCGTTTTCATTTTTCAAATATGTGGAATATATTTCTTTTTTCCCAGACTGGCCCCTTCTGCACAAGCACGCCCTTCCCGCACCAATCTAATTAAGAGGCAATCAGGAGATAATCAAAAGTTCCTCAAAGTGCGGGCAATAAATAGCTCCCATATGCTCAGTAAGTGCCCAGACTGCAGGCAAAATGGTTATTCTGCAGCATTGAGGGAGACACTTACTCTCTGTTAAGGCAGAAGTCAAGTCAGTTATTGCAATTAAGCTCTATAAAGATTCCTTGAACTTAATCAAATAAAAAGTTTTAACTTTAAGAGTTAGAATAAAGTGTGTACCAGTTGGGGGGAGGTGATGTGGGCAGAGGGGGTCCAGGGCAGCTGATGGTCTTGCTACAGCTGCTACACAGTGGGCACCCCGAAACTGCACCTTCTGTAAAGCTGGCTTCTGTGCCCTCTTTCAGAACCATCTCCTCAAAATCACGAGGCAAGAAGAATTCTAACCCATTAAAGACGTCCCTACTGGGGTGTCCTAGACAGAGTATCAGAGGAACTAGGCTGCCCTAGCGAGACCTACTGGGGCGGCCTCAGTCCTTTCCAAGGAGTGAAACAAAACCTGACGCAGCTGCAGCGGGGCCTGGGCGCAAATCTTCTGAGTGTGGCCCGTTGGGCCTGCCGGCTCCCCAGGGCTGGCCCCCCACCTGGGTCCAATCACTCAGTGGGGTTGAGTCCCCACCAGCCGCACTCTTCTGTGCCAGAAAAGCAGCTCAGAGGAGACTGCTGGCTTGAAAGGAAGCCCCGGAGGAGGGATCCGCCTGTTGTCACCGGGACCAAGGCAGGGCCATGACTGGAGGGGCACAGCTGTCTAATTGAGAGGTGACAAGGGACTCCGTTCAAGGCACCGAGGAGGACAGGAGGAAAGCAGAGGACGTGGGAGAACACCTAAGATCTACTGGACACCGAGTGGCCAAACAGACTGCCAGCCAGCAGTGAGGCTGCGGCAAGCCCCAGGCTGAGGCCGGCAGAGAGCAGCAGGCTGGCACCGGGCTAGCCGGCCTCCCTCTGGGGCCTGTGGTCATTGATTCTCTACAAAAGGAAAGGGTCAGGTTGGGGACCTCAGAGTTCCCATCAAGCCCTAGATCACATGGCAGCCTTTTCAGCAGCACAACGGTACCCTCTGCTGAGCATTTACTCAAGTTGGTTAAAAGTGGCTACATTTTCTAGGGTAAAATCAAAACAAACTTGGAGTCTTAATTTGGGATTCTCACTAAGGGAAAGTGGGAAAGCAAGTCCTGTAAAACCTTGAGCCATGGCACCCAGGCGAGCATGGAACTTGGGAGGTGTCCGCGTTCACACTTCCCACAGCCCCTGTGACCAGCCGCACAGGCTGCGCCCCCAGGGAGGGAGGATCCCGGGCCTCCCCACCCCGAGGCGCAGACCAGCCGGGCTCTGAGCCGTGGGCTGCCGATGAATCACGGCCTGGAGAACGTGCCATCCAGGCAAGAGCTCGGGTTTTCAGGAAACGGGCCTAAGATGGCAGGCACCCAAGGAGTGGGCTGGGAGGACAGCCTTCCAAGAGCGCCCGGCTCCATCTGCACCGATCAGTCAGCCAGCCAGGCTCGCTCGATGGGAAGGAACGCACAGGTTATTACCATGGAGAAATGCAAGGTTTCAGGACCTGCTGAAATTGAAAGTGAAGGCAAACGGCTCCCTGGTGGCTTTGCATCAAAAATTAAACAGAAGCCGGGTGCTGAGCATTTCATCATTGGCACCCCTGCCTGAAGCAAAGTGTGAATGTGTATGACTTTGTGTTTTAACCTCAATTTTTGTTAGGCTTTGTTCCCTTCCTCCCCCTGCTGAAAATTCAACCTCTCCATCACCACCCAAGGAATATAGTAACTAGATGGCAAATTATTTATTCCAAATGCTCTTTCCGACTACCTTGGCCGTGCACTCCCTGGGGACGTACAAACTTTCGTCTATTTACGAGGAGGGAGAAAGAGCTATGGGCATTGTTGTTGAGTGTTTCAGCACCCGAAGGAGCTCTGCTGAAAGCCCACGGCAACGCTTCACTGGCAAGGAGCCCATGCGGCGCCTCAGACCTCAGGGGCAGCTGGCAAACCTGAGTGCAGGCGAGCATGACCTTCCAGGTTTCCGGGCCTCACATTCTCCTGCCTTTGCATCTGAGCCCACTGCCTGTTCCCTCCGCTCTCCCACCTCCCCTAAGGCCAGGACTTTGAGCAGGACACCTGCCACCCAGGACAGAGACCACATCCCCAGCCTCCCTAGACCAGGCACCACACACGGCTGCGGGGAAAAGCAGAGATCCGTGTCCCTCCTGTGAGCCACTCAGCCACACAGGAAAGAGGAACAAATCCCCATTTGTAAAGCCATTGGATCTGGTGTTACCAACTGATATTCCAACCACTACCTCTAACTATCCCCAGAGGAGGAGGGAAAACATGTGGCAGTCTTTCCATCTTAACCAAGTCAGTGGCCCTCAACGTGGCTGCATGCCCTATACAGCTGCCTGACCCAGTGTTTACACCAAGTATTTCTGGTCTCTGACTTGGCATGAGACAATTCTGCATGATGTCATAAAGAAATAAACGTTGTCACTCACCCTGAGTGGTTTTCTCCTCCCTAGATCTACAACACGGTAGCAAGGTCCAATCAGAGGGCCATGTTAAATGTGGCAGCTGGACACAATACCAGGACCCCACATGGTCCGACCCTGAGTCTGTGTCTGCAGTGACACGAGGAGGATTGGGTGTGCAAGGGCGTGACGCCCACCTGGAAACGCACAATGTGCCCAGGCTGGGTTGCCAGTGCTTGATACTCAATAAATACTCAGGCATGATTTCATGCCTTTTTAGAACGGCTTTTTATGTTCTTTACAAGGCCTCCCAATGCCCTGTGCATAGTGAGTATGCAACTACTTGTTAAATTAAATTATCCCTGCAACTGTTGTTTCAGTAACAATCCCATTTGGTTTGCTGTACATTTGCTGTACAGTAACAAATATGGGACGAGTCTAATGCATGTGAATGATTTCCAACTCAGGATTTTAATGAGCTCTTTCTACAACATTTAAAAAATACCAAATGAGATCAAGTGCAGGTACTAAACCTCAGGGAATTCTACTAGTTACATTTTTTTTCATGCAAAGAAGCACACAATGATTCTTCTGTCTCCAGCTTTGCATTTTTGACAAGGGAGACTTCAACCTGAATAACTTAATTTTAAAAAATAGCTTTTAGTGTTTCAAAGGCTTAAAACATCTACACGTAGATTTTTAATTACAAAAGTAATATCTACCAACTTTTTTTATTTATTTATTTTTTTGCGGTACGCGGGCCTCTCACTGCTGTGGCCTCTCCCGTTGCAGAGCACAGGCTCCGGACGCGCAGGCTCAGCGGCTACGGCTCACGGGCCCAGCCACTCCGCGGCATGTGGGATCTTCCTGGACCAGGGTGCGAACCCGTGTCCCCTGCATCGGCAGGCGGACTCTCAACCACTGCGCCACCAGGGAAGCCCTCTACCAACTTTTAAAAGGGAGCATTCTCATTCCAATCCTCCTGTCCTGGTATTAGCACCATTAGCATCTTGTTATAATTTTATCCAGCCCTTTTCCCATGCATAATATAGAGGTAATTATACTGCTGATACAGTCTGGTGTTCTGTTTTTGTCATTTAACATATATTTTGTATAATAATAAATAATCTTCACAAAGTTTTAAGATGGCTTACATTTTTTCAAATATATGTATCTCAATTACATCCCCATTCTGTTAGGTACTGGGATTCTCCCCAGTTTCCCCTTTTATAGCTAATATTCTGACAAACGGCATTCTTTTTCAAAGCCTCTCTGACTGTCTCACCAGTCCCGTTCCTTGGTTCTTCCTCAGCAACCTGCTTAGTCCCTCTCCTGAGCTGGAATGGGTGGATGCAAGGTGGACAGGGCAGCAGGGGCTGGAGTGACGCGGGAGATGTCAGGGTCCAACAATGCCGGCTGGGAATGTGCTGGTCCAGGCTGGGTCAGGGGTCAGGCCGCCTCCCTGTCCAGGGTTGTGATCCCCAGAGCCCTCCCTCACAGCATCCTAATGCTGACCCCCACCTCTGAGTCCGCTTCCCACAGAACCCAACGTGCAACAACCAGGATTCGCCTAAAAGGGAGCGGGAGGGTATCAGGCCACAGACAGTGAGCTTTGCAGGATGGAGGACCATGCAGGCTGAGGGACTAGATTGTACTCAAGTCTTCAGGGTGCATATCAGCTGCAGAGGGGCCCTGGAATGCGCAGGGAGGTTGGAACCAGGGAAGTAGAAAGACCCCAAGGGTGCATGTATGACTGCTAGCAATTCCATGTGCCCCGGGATACCCGGGAGGCTTTCCACATGTTCATCTGGGCCTCTGTGGGTTGCTGTGTTAGCTCACGTTTCTCTGTACAACAAATAAATACAAATGAGGATTTGTTTTATGAGATTCATGGAGAGCTAAACTTGCAGGCAAGAGGGCCATATTCCTAGTTTTAGAGTAGGGCATGGAAAGGTATCAGTAACAGAGACGGGAGGGATTATGAGACACTGCTGTTAGACTTTGGACCTTATATTAAACAGCACTTATACAAATCCCAGAATTCAGAAATGTTCTAAGAGGCCAATACTAGAGAAGGATCTATGGCATGATGAAGAGAGACAGGTGTGACTGTTCCGCACCAGCCATCTCTGCGTGCTTCCTCCCTGGGTCCCCTTCTCCTGCTGTCATCTTCCCTGTCTGTTCTGTCTGCTCTCTGCTCAGGCTGTGCTCCTTACTCTCTTCTCCGGGACAACACGTTGTTTTTTACTCTTTGCAGCTGAGCACATCTTAGAGGAGGCAGTTTTATATCCAGAGAAACATGCACAAGAAGGAAGACTGTCCCACGGACTTGTTGGTGGGGTGGGCAGATGGAGGGAAGGACTAAAAGCTCGCTAAAAGCTGGCGCCTCGCGTCCACCCTGTATTTCTTCCTCCTGGGGGGAACTGCTTGGCCAGTGGCCCCAGTCACCCAGGAGGCCATTCACACTGGGCAGCTGGTGTGATGCCCATTTCCTGTGGCTTAACTAGTTTTCCATCCATGACTAGTCGCAGCACTGACCCTGTTCAGCTCTTTTTTCTTTCCTTTTTAATAATAAATGTTTTATAAAAACCTGGTTCAGAAAAAATAGAATTTAAGGCATCACTTTACTTAAAGGATAAGGCTGTTTTAGGATCTCCTTCTTCAGAAATGTGGGTTTTCTTTCTAATTATTTATCCTAAGCATTAGAGAGGCTTTTCAACCCCACCTCCCCAGTTCTAATCTTCATGGAGTGAAGGAAACTGCGTCTGCTGTCCTGCCAGTCTGTTCACACAGGATCTAAACTGCTGCACAGAGACTCTTCGTGAGGTCTACTCCTATTTCTCTGTTTCTCCAGTTTATTCCATAAGCTCTTCCAAAGGGTATGGATGAGGCATGTTTTAACTTGATTTCTGATTATCGTCTGGTGCTTGGCCAGCATAGTGCATCTTGATTTATCTCACAGATAAGAATGTTAACTCTTGATTTTCCTTGAGTGGACGAGAGCAGGTGAGTTTACCACCTCCTTCTTAGTTCTCTGGGTTTACAGAGTCGGGGGAAAGTGGTCATGCACATATTAAAAAAAAAAAAAAATCACTACTCTTTTTAGGTATTTTGTATTAGGATTTCTCTCTGGATGTGACTAAGACACATTTTCCTTTGTTACCGCCCCATTTTAGTACTTCCTCACATTCTGCTTGTGTCACAAAAGCAAGGAAACAGGAAGAAACCAAACACCTTCAGATATAATGTCTAGATTCAAAACAATTTCCATTATTACTGCTGTTATCATACTGTACTTACTACTAGCAGTAGTGTAAAGAGCAGTAATCCAGTTTTTTTTTCTTTAATATTTATTTATCTATTTGGCCATGCCGGGTCTTAGTTTGGAATCTTCGTTGCAGCATGTGGGATCTTTAGTTACGGCATGTGGGCTCTTAGTTGCAGCATGCGGGATCTAGTTCCCTGACCAGGGATTGAACCCAGGCCCCCTGCATTGGAAGCATAGAGTCTTAACCATTGGACCACCAGGGAAGTCCCAGTAATCCAGTTTTGAAGGAAATTTATAATCAACATACAAGTATCATAAAGATCACACTCGTGCGTGTGTGTGTGTGACAGCATGTGTATATGTGTGCAATAAGCATGCAAATTAAGTGGTCACGAACCCAACAGTTTTAATTCTCTGGAGCAATCTTGGATACACTTCATGAATTCAGCTGGCAGCTTCTTTCCTCAATACAAATCCCTACAGAGTCAGAAACTCACCCGCAGGCCCTCTCCGCCCCGAGCTATGAACTGCAGGGCCTCTGTAGGCACTGGTCCCGCTCAGCCCTGGATGACCCTTAGAGGCACCTGCACTTCTGCAGGGGACTTAGGCAGAGCTGAGGGTCGACCTTGTTAACTCGTGTACACCACTCAGGCCTCCACGTTTGGAGCCCCGTCTTCCTATTTTGTTCAAATAATTCCCTTACACTTGGACTATCGCAGAAACGGGAAAACCATGCTCCTTAGAGAATCTGATGCTGGTCTGGGGAGAGACACTTACCACATGGCGTGCATGTACGTGGGGGGCAGGCGTGGGCTGCTGACGGGGGTGCAGTTATATGACCTCATGATCCTTTCCGCCAATAAAAAATTTCGAAACAGACTAGCCACCAATAGGTCCTGTCTGAAGAGCTTTTGGAAGAGATCTGAGGGCAGAGAACAGATAAAAAGGTGACTTCATTGACTCACGTCCAGCATTTACAGCCAAATATACAAATTTACTATCCTTCTACCAGAAGTTGCAACAAGCAGGTTGGAACTGACATGCACATTCTCCACTGGCAGCACCTACATGACACACGTAATGTGAACAAACAGCAGAACCCAACCAACTGGTCACAGAAAAACATAAACGTGTCTTATACTATAGTAGTAATTTGGGTTTTAAGAAATATGGATGGTGTGTGACTCTGAAGGCAGATGAGCCCTGAGTCTGCCCCGAAAACACTAAGGACCCGAGCAGATACCACTCTGAACTAGCCCTGCAGCACTGCTCTCGACCTGATGCGCGATTCCCTTCATCCTCTCAGAACCTTTGGGGTCCCTGCCTTCTCCCGCCCACATCCTCAGGTTTCTTCACTGAGGGGAACTCAGTCCTCCCATTTGACTTCTCTCACATCCCAGCGCCAGAGTCTCCTGACTCCGGGGCAGCAGCCTTCCCACCAGTCCACAGCTGGGCAGCCTCACCCCGAGGAAGCACGTTCCATGCAATGGTGTCCGTGATGGCCGTGAAGATCCAGTTCAGCTCGCCCAGGGGGGTCCTCCTGTCGTTCAGCCGCCCGGGAATCCTAGGAAACACAAAACAGTCACGGAGATGGAAACAGGTGACAGAGGCAGGAGGAGGTGGGAAGAGAAGGGGTGAGGGGACGACGACGCGTCAGAAGGGGCTTGGGGGGCGACTTGGCCATGCCAGGAGGACCTCCTTGCCTTGCTGTGATCTTTGAGACTCCCGTACGTCTAACCTCACATCTTAAAACTCAGTTTCCACTTCACTTTCTTCCCTTCCCCATCTGCACAGGAGCAGCGGGTGGGCCCCTCTGGCACCCCCGTGACAGCAGGCACAGAGCTCTGCCGACCAGGCAGGCCCCCGGGGCCCTGGAGCCCCCCACAGCCTTGCTCTCAGCCTCCAAGTGGACGGGCCCCACACCCTAATCAAGACACTCCTGTCAGGCAGGACACGGGTCACCTCCCAGAAGCTGAGGGCAACGGGAAGACCTCTGTGGGCCCAGCTCTTCACCACACAATCATTCACCTGTTCAACATCAAAACAGACCTAGTCAGGCCTAGATTCCACCTCTTAAATTCACACGTAGTCCTGGGCGCAGCATCGCTGGACTGAAAATGCCAGCGGTGAGGATGTGAGAGGTGGGCCAGCAGCATCACAGGCCTCCCAGTGGGGCGTGTGAGGGGAGCTGGGCTTGCTTCCCCGCCCCCTGTGGGGAAATTCGAGCACAGGAAGAAAAAACACAACAGACAACTGGGCGACACTCTTTTGAGTGGTGCTCCATTTGTGGCCACTCACATACGACGCCTTTGGGTGTATCAGCTGGCACAATCCTTCTGGAAAGGACAGACACATGAAGGACAGAAAACATCTGTATCCTTTCCTCAGTTAAGTCTGCTCCCAAGAATCAATCTTGAACCAGAAACGAAGAATGTGGAAACAAGGTATGTTTTGCAGTGTTTTATTTATAACAGTGAAAAGTCAGAAACTACCTATGTGACCAATAATAGAGAAATGATTAATTATGGAACAACCACAATGAAATAACTACAAGCTATTAAACTGTTGTTTATGAATATTTTAATGATATGGGGAAAAGACTGCTTTGTAACATTAAGTAAAGAAGTGGGACAAATATCGTGCCGTCATAATTACACAGAACACATACAAGGAGAGCCGATCAGGAGGAAAGCCCCGCAGTGAGGCAGTGGCGACACTCTCCTTGTCTTCACATCTGCACGCAGTCAGCATTGGATGCCACTCCTCTGCCCACTCACCTGCCTCTCGCCCTGACAGCTGGTGGTGACAGGACAGTGTTCTTGGAAGAAGGAGGGTCTGCTGAGGTCTATTTCCAAACCTGGACCAAGCGCATCATGGGTGTGTGCAGTGCCCCTTAAGTCAGGTGAAGCAACACAGCCCCAGCTGGCTCCTTGGGGTTTGACCCTTGGGAAAGGCCGCTGCGTCCCCAGCAGTGAGGAGCTGCCCTGCTGCCGGCACTGTGGCCGAGCCATCGGAGGGAACAGAGGCCACTCCTTGTCAGGTGGAGGTCAGTGTGCATTTAGGTGTGTTTTTTAAATCCTCATCTTGTGACAATCGCTGGCAGATAAATGCAAAACTAAGACTCCCACTATGATCTCCTGAAAATTCTACTGATGTCTTTCACTAAAGCTCATCATGAAACCACAGACCCAGCCATCTGCCCGACTGATTTCAGACAGACCTGGGAACCATTCAAAGTGATCAATCAACCAATCATTGCAAGACCCATCTGCATTCGGCAGCCTGGGATGACAAAGGTGGAAGTGAGTCCCGCTTCCCTCCCTTTTCATGTCATTTAGAATTAAGTCACTTCAAAAAAAAAAATAAAGAAAGAAGTAAGTCACTTCAGAAACTACTTGTTTCCATTTTCCTTTCTGTAATTGATCCTAAGGACGTCAAAACCCAACCCGCTCTGGAAGCTGTCTGGGTCAGCGATGCAGGGCCACGAAGAAAGGCACAGCACAGAGTGTCAAGCCCAGGACACATTTCATTACACAAGTTTCTTTCACCTACCCCTCCCCCCAATTTCATTAATAATCAAGGTGGTTCTTTTAAAATTTAAACCCACAGTGTTAATCAAGGACTAACTTTTATGTGAAAAGCACAAAAGGCTATAGTTTAGGAACAGATCATGGAACTGGGAGATGAGAAAAACGAACTCTAGTCCCAGCAGTGCATGTCTGGGTAACTTCTGGTGTCTTGTCTCTCTGCTCTGAGTCACCCAGGTTAACCTCATATGCAAAATGGAGATCAAAATAAAGTGGATAGCACTTCCAAAGGAGATGCAGCAGAGAGCCAGCAGAGACTTCCTTGGAAAATGCATGCCACCTCCTCAAACTCCTCATCACCGCTGTCTGCCATTGGATTTATTCTCACCTCCTCCGACATCTGGGTTCACCCACAGCTTCCAGCACTGCCCACTGTGTGGAGCCTGACTGCAGCAACGGCGACTCTGCTTCTGGATCTTACAAGATGACCCAACCTGCCTTCACCCCTTGCTTGCTGTCTTCACAGCTCAAATTTAACATGTCTAAAATCAAGCTCATCCTCATTACTGCCATCTTCTTCTCCCCTGTAGCATGTGTCCTCACTCCAAGAGTCCCCGTGGATTCTCTTCCATCAGAGCTCGAACCCTCAGAGACAGGGCCCACTCATCTCTTCCCCAAGTGTAGCTCGTGTTTCCTGCTTCTTGCAAGGCACCTCTTCCACTGCCTTTTGGTAACCACTCCCACTGCAAAGGTATCCTCAATGGCCTTCTTGATCCAATTCATACTAGGCAGGGTGACAGCCCCCGGTATACCTTTGTTCAAAAATCTACAGGGTTCTCTGCTTACTGCTGCAGTGGTTTCAAATAGTTCCCTCTATTTCAACAAAATCTCACTTGGAATAAAGGAAAGCAGAGTTCCTATGGCTGGAGGGGTGAGGGCTGGGAGCCACCAGCTTCCCAGTGGCCCACGCCTCCCCAGATGGGCCACCGCGAGGCCTCCAAGGAGCAAGGGTGAAAACTCTGCCAATGGACTTAGGTAGAAAGTTTCCACTTGGCTTCAAAGCCATCACCTTGACACAATAAACTCTGAAACTAGTTCCCTCTGTTTGGGTCCATTACCTCGCAGTTGGACAAAAATATCAAACTCAGTCTCCTCTCATTTGCCCACTTGGAACAGCCTCCCACGTGTCTTGGGCTGGTTCTGGCTCAGTCTTCACAAGCGAAGCCCAACTTCCCTGTCCATGAAGATGTCTTGACCACAGCAGCCTTTGCTCAGGTCCTTTTCAACTGCATCTCACTTGGGATTTCTTTGGCAGCCCACCAATTGCTTACTTTTCTTTTTATTTATTCAGTGTTGCTCCATGCATGTTAATTATCTGTGTAACTAGGTAATAAATTCCTTGTAGGCAATGACTTACTTTCCTCGATGTAAATCAGTCTCTTCACAGATTCTGGCAGAGTGCTGAGCACATGCACGAGCTCACAGCCCACACATCTGACTCACGTTACTTCCCTACTTAAGAACATTTGCTCCCACTTGGCCAGCAGCTCCCTGAACCCCGTGTGGTGGAGTGACTGACATGGAGGGGCACCGCCCAGACCCCCCAAGAGGGGCTGGCTGCTCGGCGGGAGGAGTATGTTCGGGTACACCGTCCAGCTGGGAGACGAGCCCGTCTCAGCTGTCAGGTTGGCCTCAGCTGATGATCCCCAGGGCAGAGGTGCAGGGCCTCCACAGGCGGCCCATGCTCTGCAGCTCAGCATCATGGCCGCTGCTTCTTCGCCTCCCTCCCGTGCTTCTCCCCAATACGCTTGTGTCCCTTGTCTCTGTGTCTGCCCCCATCAACCAGCCAGCACCGCGGTCTGGGGTAGGTGTCTCACCCTGCCTGTCCTCACCTCCATTCGTCACTTTGTGTCTCCCCAGCTTCCTCTCTCGCCAACACGCCGATGTCTAGCTACACAGAACTTGTCCTCCTCAAACAGCTCACATGCCTCCAGACCTGCGCAGACGCCCTCCTGCCTCCCTGGCCCAGTGGTCCCCCCAGGCTTTCAGGTTCTGCTCTGAGGCCCCCACAGAATTCCGCAGATGACAGCTGGTGCCCAGGCTACATCTCCCACTAGGCTCGGGGCTCTTGGACGGCAGGCCCACGTGCTTCCTCGTGCTAACCCAGTGTTCACACATAGCATCTAATGCATAACAGATACATATTTGATGAGTGAGTGGATGGATTCTAGCTGCATGATCACAGCTCTGTGTAAATAAAATGCTAAATGAAAAACTATGGTTTCCAAGAAAATGACACAAACTCACTAAAAATACTCAAGTGATAAGAAGATAACACAAATCATCCCAAATTTCACCATCTAAGAACCAGTAGAAACATTTTGGTGACCATTCCTCCAGATATCTCTTTATGTACAAAATCAAATAATTTTAAATGCACTGAAATAACCATATGAAAAGACATGCTACATTTTTGTTAAAAACATCCACAGGGCTTCCCTGGTGGTGCAGTGGTTGAGAATCTGCCTGCCAATTCAGGGGACACGGGTTCGAGCCCTGGTCTGGGAAGATCCCACATGCCGCAGAGCAACTGGGCCCGTGAGCCACAACTACAGAGCTTGCGCGTCTGGAGCCTGTGCTCCGCAACGAGAGGCCACGACAGTGAAGAGGCCCGCGCACCGTGATGAAGAGTGGTCCCCGCTCGCCACAACTAGAGAAAGCCCTTGCACAGAAATGAAGACCCAGCACAGCCAAAAATAAATAAATAAATAAATAAATATTTTAAAAAAACCATCCACCAATACACTTAGGAAAAAAGTCTGGGAAGGTCTGCACCAAAGTAGTAACAACGATTATCTTGGCATGGTAGAGATTATGGATGATTTTAATTCTTTTTGCTTATCTGTATTTAATAATATACACGCTGAAAACACACTATTTGCATAATAAAGAAAAATAAAACTTTTTTTTTAATAAGAGGGAAGCCAAGCAAGTTTACCAGAAAAGGGAAAACATTTGAAAATTTCATGTTTTATGA